AAGTACTTGCTGGGTATGAACCTGATGTTATTAATCCTGGTCTTCCTGGCCCTTTATCAATTGGAAAGGATATGGCTGATCACTTTGTTATGTATAATAATGTTTTACAGAAAGCTATTTATTCTCATCAGTTTCTTCATCAGGGTGCTCGAGTTTTGGCTAACATGCATCATATCTCTTAAAGGCAAGCTCAAGATATTGTTCGTGCTTGTCCTGATTGTCAGAGGTTTTCTAAATCTAATTTTCCTGGAGGAGTTAATCCTTGAGAAATAAAAGGTAATGAAATTTGGCAAATGGAAGTCACTCGTTATTTCTCTTTCGGATGTTTTAAATATTTACATGTTACTGTTGATACTTACTCTAGTCTTATTCATGTCACGGCCCAAACAGGAGAAACTGCTAAATATGTTGAAAAACATTGTCTTTCTGCCTTTGCCTCCATGGGGATTCCAAATCAAATTAAGGCAGATAATGGATCAGCATACACCTCCAAAGTCTTTCAAGTATTCTGTGACAACTGGAACATTAAACATGTCACAGGAATCCCATTTAACCCCACTGTCCAGACAATTGTGGAAAGAACTAATGGCCTTTCTAAATCTCAAATAGGTAAACAAATAGGGGGAATGTAGATATAAGACCGGCCCCTCATGAACAGGTTTTTAAAGCTCTGTTTACACTACATTTTTAAAACTGTAATTTCCCAAAATTAACGGCCACAGAACAACACTTTATACCTCCTAAAAAGAGACCTAGACCTTTGGTTTTATTCTGCCACCTACCAATGGGACCACAGTTGAGACCTGTTGAATTATTAACATGGGGGAGAGGGCCGGCCCGGTGGCGCACTGCTACAGTGCGCCGCTTGGGAGCGCGGCGGCATTCCCGCCGAGGGTTCGGATCCCATATACAGACCGGTTCCCGCTCACTGGCTGAGCGAGGGGCGGGCGCAGCACTGAGGGTTGCGATCCCGTTGCCAGTCCCGGTCCGGTACGGGCGCAACACTGAGGGTTGCGGTCCGTTGCCGGACACAAAAAAAGACAAAAAGGAAAAAAAAAAATAACATGGGGGAGAGGGTTTGCATCTGTTCTTTGACCCACAGGCCCACTATGGATTCCTGCTAAGGCTGTTGAACCTTATGTGGAACCCCAAACCAGACGAGGAGTTGAATCTGATCCCAAAATCTCAACGCCTGGCCATCACACCTCAATCCATATCACCGGGGATGGTACACATCAGACCACCAGTGATGATGGTGCCAACAACCACCTCCACTCCAACCTACATGAGCCCACCAGTAATGAAAATAATGATAACAAGCTCCAAATTGGCCTGGGGTAAATTTAAAAAACTTCAACAGTCAAATAGATTTCAATAGCTCAGCCCTTAAGCTCAGTAATTTATTTGAGAAACAAAAACTAAACTAAAATCTACCTGTTTAACTAAATGGTCTCAAATTTTCTGGCATCCAGCTGGTCATCTTAAACAGACTTCTAAATTTTCTTCTAGGCTCATCTATGTATTTCTTCACAAAATCTTCCAGTAAAGTTCTATACCTTTTTTTTTTTTAAAGAAAACTTTCTCTGCATCTTCTTAAAAAGGCTTGCATACTTTGCTTTACAATGTAAACTCATTACCTTCCTTTCTTTAAAACAGGATGAGGCCTCACCGATAAGTCTTTTAAAAAAAACACAATCTAAACCTAAGTGTCCTTTTTACCAGTGAACTTTTTTTTTTTACATCTTGAACAAAACCTATAAGATCCTTGTTTGTTCTTGTTGTTTATGTCTGCATATATGCATGTGTAAGTTGTATGTTATATGTTCATGTCTGTATGTGTAATTGTGTTCTGCATGGTACCAAATTAGCTTATAATTAATGCACGCTCATTAAATAACTAAGTATACTTTTTAAGTTCATGTGACTTAAATTTTCTTTTTTTTTTTTTTTTTTCCTTTTTGTCTTTTTCCGTGTCTGGCAACGGATCGCAACCCTCAGTGTCGCCCCCGTACCGCAACGGGATCGCAACCCTCGGTGTTGCTCCCGTGCCTCGCTCAGCCAGTGAGCGGGAACCGGTCTGTATGTGGGATCCGAAAATTTTCTAAAGTTTTAATAAATATATTTTCAAAATTTGATTTAAACCTTTTACCTAAATTTGGCTCTAGGTCAATATGTCTCCTTGTTATCTCAGTTCTGCCTCCTGGCCATGCTGGGAGAAACAATATGTTTAAGACATTGTCTTTGTGAAGACTGCCCTCTGCCTCTCTGGATTCCACTTGGCTCCAAGTGCCACATGGAAACCTAAGACCCAAAATGGCTAGTAAAAGGAGACCTATGCTCAATATCTCATAGGCCGTAGTTAACATTAACTGATAAAGGGTATAGATCTAATACACCAAGTTTTTGGCTGGGAAACCATAAATATGTATTTGGTAAAAACAGCTAAAACTCAAACTGGGCTTTGTATAATTTGCTCTGATAAATGGATGCCTATTTACTAACCTGAATGCATAAAAATGTTCTTATCAGCACACATCACTGCCTGGGTTTACTAATCAAATAAGATTACATTTGTCTTTTCTAGAGGTCTTTTAAGTTGTGCATGATAATTTCTTGTGCTCTCTGCCTTTGAAACCCTTGGTCACTTTAGTTTTATTTTTTTCAGTAATTCGTGATCTTATCCAATTAAATGTTTTAAGCCTTTTGTTATTTGACAAAACTTTCCAAAAATAAATTCTGAAAGCCCAACCTTTTGGTTTAAACTAACTTCCAGACTTTTGACATGAACTAACTTTGAGGAGTTCCAAGGGCCCTGGGGCTTCTCAAAGGATATATAAAAAATATATCAGAACTAATTGGCTTATTTAATAAATTAGACTATATGGGAAAGCATTTTCAGTACTGAAGGTGTTATGGATATGTGTTCCAAAATCTTGTAAGGTTCTTGAAAATCTGGGCCTTGTTATAAATGCTATTGGTCATAATCTTGGTTCAATTATAATTTTAAATGTTATGTTAGGTATAGCTTCTTGACAAACTTTGAGTTTATACCTTTAAACTAAATTTCCAAAATTCTAATAAAGAAACTGATGGGTTTGTGAAATTGTTCACAAAGGTCAACAAGACAAAAGTTAATTAGTGAACTAATTAAAAAGAATTATGGGTTTATACAATTTCCTTATTTTGAAACACTGCTGGTTCTCTTACTGTTTTGTTTTCCAAATCTAAGAAAAACCTCTCTCTTAAGCTATCTATAACTGACAACAGTTTGGTAAAATATCATTTAAAACCAAAGTAATAGCATTTGTTTTCTCCCTATTTGATCCACTCCGAATTTAATAACTTTAAGTATCCTTATGATTATTATGGCAATGTGGCTATTTTTATAAGTTCAGTGAAAATTAACTCTCTATGACAGGATATAATTTAAAACTTTGGTTATAAAATAGCATGTCTCTTCTAAGCTGCTGACCCCTCTTTTATGTTGCCTGAATTTGGCCTAACTGCTGCTTCATCCTGCTGTTCATCTCCCCCCACCCCCATCCCCCCAATGTGGGACAGAACACCACCTGGGGATGAGCCTTCCCAGCACGGTGGGATTTATACAAAGAAAAGTAAGACCTTTTCAATCAAGATATTGATCATCAATGCTTTTATGAGGAATACCTTGATCATTAAGGGGGAAATGACATCTTCTCTACAAAAGCAGTTCTCTGAATTTTCCTGGCCTTAAAGCAGTTCTCTGAATTTTCCTGTTTGTAACTTGGATGAGACATCCTGTTCCTAAACAAAAGACTTGTAATTGATCAAAAATTATACAAAAGACTAAATGCTTTGGAAGCAGTAATGTCCTGGACAGGTGAACATTAAGGAACTCTCTCTACTCAGAATCAACTATTATACAGAGCAGAATCCCATTCTGGAGTTTCAACAATTGGTAATTACACCTAATTCATGACACCTGGAATGATGCCTATACAACAGCTGAGAGATGATGACATTGTCAGTCCTTACCTGAAGTAAATTAAGAGGACTTGCCATGCTAAAGGATACTAACTTTGCTTTAAATGCTTTTGTCTTAACTGTCAAAACCTGATCTATGCTTTTGCTTTTTCTATTAAATAAATAAAATGGGGAGATGTGGAGTATACATAAAGCAAATGTATTTCACAGGGCCTGGTTTTCCAAAGCCTTGCAGTTTCAAATGTTAATCTTGTAAAGGACAGGAAATTTTCCCCAGGCTATAGTGTCTGTTGTAAGATAACGAATTGTAACACAGCAAAGTTGCTGGCTCAAAAGCAGGTTACTGATTGATATGTAAAGATACTGGGAAATTGCTGTAAGAAGAGAATGTTTGTTAAAATCAAGCTTTTGTTGGTGGATCAACTTCTTGCAAATTGCATTATGGAATGTCACCTTGCTTGTCTTACTGAGTGTTACCAGCTTCTATTGTTAAACTTGTTAAACTATACTTAGCCAAAACCCCACCTATGTTCTCTTCCTGAAACTTCCTCCTCTGGGGAATAAATGTGGGAAGAGAACCCCAATTCATGATTAATTTCCCAAATGGAAGGAGTGCCTCTCTCTTGAGGGTCCTGGGAGATTAACCCCTTTTCGGGCTTCTCCCTGCTCAGAAGAGATGGGGTTTGAGTAATCTTTGGCGGCTCTGTCACCCAGGGGAAAAGTGGTGACAAATCCGTGGGAGGCAAAGCAACACCTTCTGCTCGATGTTGCTGCAAACTTAAAATTGCTCTTAAAAATAAAGTCTTTTTTAAAAAGTACGTAATTTAAAGAATTCAGGGAAGTATTTATGGGCAAGGAATATTTCTGAACATTTTTAGATTTAAAAAATAAGATATAAATGAAGGCAACATCATTTTCCCGGGTTATGTGAGTGTGTGCCTGCCTAGATCTGGGGAAAGTTAGGTGAAAGGTGCTAACCACTGAATTTTAAACAGCATGTCCCTTCTCTCCTGTTTTTCATCCTAGAGCACTCACTCTAATGACAGGAAACAATGTCTCCTTCAGCCTAGAGGCTCCCTCACCCCCAAGACTGCTCTGCTGCTCACATCTGCTACTTCCTTCAGTCCGTGCACAGAGGAGTGGCCCGTGCTGCTGCCTGAAGGCTTTGAGCAGAAATATGACTGGTGAGCTGGCAAAGTCCTGGATGCTAAATATTTGGATTCACTAGCTTCCGATATGTGAAAATGGAATATAAAAGGAAGTTAAAACAAGCTCAGCATGTTACAACCTTAGCTTCAATGCAGGTTTCAAGGTCTATAGAAAGAGACAGTCACTTTATTTTATTTGGAGAATGAAATAGTTTTGCAAAGGAAAAAAGATAAAACAGTATGTGTCACACGATTCCAAGATTTTTAAAGCAAAATAAGCCTGGAAGGGAATCTATCAACATGTCACCAACCTTTAGGGTTCTCATACATTGCTAGCTGCAGTGTTATTTGGTACAGAATTCATTGAAAACAATTTGGCAATACCTATCAAAATTATAAGTTTGGGATCTGGCCAGGTAGCCCAGCTGGTTAGGGAGTGGCCTTGTAACACCCAGGTCAAGGGTTCAGATCCCCATACCAGCCAGAAGCCAAAATTAAAAAATAAATTTAAAAAAAAAACAACTATGAATTCATGTACCCTTTGATGCAGCAATTCCATTGCTAAGGGTATTTTATAGTCACATTTACAAGATAATATATGTGCAAGCATACTAATGCGGCATAGTGTGAAAAAGTTTGAAAATATATTAAAACTTCCACCAGGGGGAACTTGTTAAATAATTATGATACTTGACTAAATATTATGTAACTGTAAGATAGAAAGAGGAAACTCTTCATGAACTCATGGAATAAACTCCAAGATATATTTTAGTTGAAAAGCTTAGATACGTATGTATTAAATGGTTTGTGTTTTGTATGCTACTTGCTTTAAATAAAAGGGGAGAAAAAGAATGTGCATACTTTTATGTATTTTATCATCTGTATAAATTTGGTTGTCTCCAGAGGGAGAAAATGGGTAGGAACCAGGAGTTTTTTAAATTGCATACTCTTTTTGTACCACTTAAATTCAACCCATGTAAGTGAATTTTTATAATTTAAACATTTTAAAATTAATAATTAAAAATAGTACCAACCTGCTAGAGTGCAAACTTCATGGAGGTAAAGGACTGTATGTGTCTCATATGCAGTTCTATTCACAGCCCCCAGCACAGTGCCTGGTACAGAGGAGCCACTTAATTAACAGCTGAATGAGTAAGTGAATTGCTAATATTTTAGTGGTGAGATTCCAGGGAATTTTTTGTAATTTACAAATATTTTCTCATACACAGGCATGATTTTTACAATCAGAAATGTAGTTTTGAAGTGGAAGGGAAAGACTCAGATGCAGTAGAGCCCCTAGACCCAGGCAAGTGCTCTTAGAGTATTGTTGTCAAAGTTTTCTAAGATCTTCTCCTGTTTGCAGGAACCAGCCAGCACTGGCAGAGCCATTGCAGCAGGGTGCCACGGACATGGACCAAGGTGCTTTCCAACCTTCGGTCACCCTCCCCGTCAAGAGGTGGACCAGATGCCCCAAGAAGCTGCAGCACTTGTGTCTGTGAGGTCGTCCTGGCCCGGCCCCCGTGGCTGTGCCCTGGTTCCTGAGGGCCACAGGAGAACAGATAGCTTCCATTGGCTGAGGCAGTTTCTTTTGTGGAATCCTGCAACATTTGGGCCACCAGATGGTGCTGACACCTGATTTGGAGTGACACTCTCTGAAGTGGGACACAGGGCAAAGGGTAAATTCAGGGATTGGCCCCTGAGCCTTGAGCTTGAGTTCCCATGCAGCCATGTAGTGGGTCTCACCTGAGTTCTGACATTTTTTTCATGAAATTGTTTACATAGACAGAAACCTCACAAAAAATATTTGCTGGGGCTCACACATGTTAGGAGTAGCCCTGCTCTGATGTAAACACCTGTATTATTTGGAAGATTTCAATAAGAACAAGTAAAAGTACATAACATTGTGACAAATCAAAGCAAATGTTTTATTCTAGAAGATAATGTTGGTAATTGGGAGAAAAGAGCTTATTGATTGTGATCAGAGCCCCTCCCACAAAATCCAGAGTCAGGGAGCCCAGAGAGCTATACAGTGAGCTATTTTTACAGCTTTAAAAAAAATGTATCAAGATGTAACCAACCTTTAACTCCCTTGGCCATATTTGGCAACAGCTTGGAAGAGGCCACGTCCCAGCACAGGGGCAAGGCAGCTTTGTACTCTCTGCCGGTTATGTTGCGCTTCACAGAGTTCAGCACTATGGTTACATGATGCAGTGTAACTTTCTTATATATCCATCTCTCCCCATCACACTCCAACGCATGTTTTCCAAAGAAGTCATTTGAGCTCTAGAGAGAGTAGAAGGTCAGAGAGAGATTAGCCCAGGTAGAGCTAGCCTTCCAGAGATACAGTGAACTTCTTCCTGCTAAAATCAGAGACTGAAATCCTCTCACTGTTCTATCTTCACCTCTAGTGTGCATCTCTCTGCTGAGTCAGGAAATTCTGTATCATCCAAAGAAAATGCTGTGTCTCGTTGACTAAAAAGCCCCACATCCCATCCCTGCTCTACACTGATTCTTCACCCTCCCCCCCAGACAGCTCCAGAAGTCTGTCTACAGCAGACTGGACGCAGTGGAGAGGCCCTTGCAGGGCACACTGTGTCCTTCCTGTGACATGACTTATGACAGGCGGAGGCCGTGTTGTCTGCTTTTCATGTTCATGAGTGTATGCTGAGTGTGGAATGGGACATGTAGGTGGGCGTGGGAGAAGATGTGTGTATTGGCACAGGCAGAGCAGAAAGGGGCAACACGGAGTGGACTCTTCAGCCATTCATGGTTGGGTCCAGCTGGGCACCAGGACACACATGCCAGTAACACGGCAGTGTGTGACAGGTGTAAGGACGCCTGCCTCACGTCTCCCATCACCACCCACAGCCTAATGGCCACACCATCGATCCTGTCAGTCCCAGTCAATCCACAGAATCTGTGGACCTGGTACTCCCCCAAACTGAGTGAGAGCTCACAGAACTAGACAGAATGGCCTGGATTTATTTTGGAAGAGGCAGAGATGCACGGTGGGTGGGGATGAGAAAATCCAGTAGTCTGAGAGGGGGTGGAGGGAGGGGGATCACAGCCAGGCTGCTAGTCACATGTCACAGGTGATGCCCATGACTGAACTAGCAGGACTTGAAGACAGACAGTGGGGGGGCTGAAGGGTGGGGTGCAGGGATGGGCTACGGGGAAGGCAGGCTAGCAAATGTGCAAGGAAACACAGAAAGCGCTGGTACTGGGTTGGCCATTTAGCTCAGTTGGGAGAGCACGGTGCTGGTAACACCAAGGTCAAGGGTTCAGGCCTTCCTACTGGCCAACTGCAAGAAAAAAAAGCACTAGTTATTGGATCATTTGCTGATCATTCATTCATTTGCGAAAAGATACGTTTTTAAGCACCTCTTAGGGGCCACTCCTGTAGAAGACTCAGCTCAGGTATCTGTGCTAGGTCCCTGCATCTGGGTGGGGAAGCCAAACACATAAAATTGCAATACAGTTGATAGAGTTTGGATGTGTTGGCCCTCAAAGCTCATGTCAAAATCTGATCCCCAACTTGGCAATGTTGGGAGTGTTTGGGTTATGGGGAGAGATCCTTCATGAATAGATTAATGCCTCAGGGGGTGGGTAGCGAGTAAGTTGTTGCTTTGTTACTTCCCATGAGAGCTGGTTGTTTAAAAGACTCTGGCATGTCCTCTCTCTCTTGCTTCCTCTTACCATGTGGTCTGCTTGTACCCGCCGGCTGCCTGCTGCTTTCTGCCAAGAGTAGAAGCAGCCTGAGGCCTGCATCAGATGCAGCCGTCCCAGAATCGTAAGCCAAATAAACTTTGTTCTTTGTAAATTACCTAGTTTCAGGTATTCTGTTTATCACAGAAATAGAAACAGAAAGTGATTAAAAAAAAAAAAAAAAAGTTTGCCCTCACAGATATAGAATCTTGATCTTGGACACCCCACTCTCCAGAACTGTGAAAAATTAACATTTACTATTTAAGCCACCCAGTCTATGATATTCTGTTATAGTGCTCTGACAGACTAAGATATGGGATTTGGGAGAGGATTAAATGAGGTAATATATGGAATGTTTTTAGAACGGTGCTTAGCACATAGTAAGCTATTCCTGTTCTTATATACTTTCAAATTATTTTGTCTAAAGGTATGTTTTAGGTTAAGTGTTACACTATTAGTGCAGGGTAATAGAGGTTAAGAAACTCAGAATATGGTAGCATAGACACAATCAAATGAAAAAGAAATACAAATGTCCAGTAAAGATCTGACATTTCACCTTTTGTGTAACAAAAGGAATATCAATTAAAACAGCTATGAGATTAGTTTTTACTTGTCTCACTGGGGAACATTTTTGAATAGATAATATTCAGTGTTAGTAGGCTGTGGGGAAACACGAACTCTCAAGCATTGTTGATGAAGAGTACAAATTTGTTCACCATTTTAGAAGAAAACTATGGCAATGTTTATCTACATATTACACCAATAATCCCAATCCAAGGAGACCAGCAATACTTTCGGGAGCTGTAAAAATATATTCATTTATTCATTGGTCAAATATGCATCTATCACCTATTTGGTGCCAGCTGAAGTCATTGATTGATGGCGCTTAAGAGAGATAATCAATCAAATGTTATCGTTTCAGTTAACTGTAAGTATTGTTGAGAAAAAAAAAGCCAGCTTTTGAGGCAAAGGATTATGGGATGGGGATAGGGGAATTTTATGGGTGAAAGAGGGTGGGCTTCCTGAGGCAGTGATGCTGGGGAAGAGACCTGAAGGAAGTGCTGGCTCCTCCTGGGAGGGTCGTCCTCACCCAGGCAACAAGGGCATAAAGGGTCCTCGGGCAGGAAAGCACGAGGCTCCTCAGCAGGAGGGGCAGTGTGAGGAACAACTGGTAGGAATGAGAGAGGCCTTTCTTGCTGTCATCTGCACACTGGAGTATTACAGGGCTGCAAGAAAGAGTAGGCTGTGGGGAAACACGAACTCTCAAGCATTGTTGATGAAGAGTACAAATTTGTTCACCATTTTAGAAGAAAACTATGGCAATGTTTATCTACATATTACGCCAATAATCTCAATCCAAGGAGACCAGCAATACTTACGGGAGCTGTAAAAATATATTCATTTCTTCATTGGTCAAATATGCATCTATCACCTATTTGGTGCCAGCTGAAGTCATTGATTGATGGCGCTTAAGAGAGATAATCAATCAAATGTTATCATTTCAGGTAACTAAGTATTGTTAAGAAAAAGAAAGCCAGCTTTTAAGGCAAAGGATTATGGGATGGAGAGAGGGGAATTTTATGGGTGAAAGAGGGTGGGCTTCCTGAGGCAGTGATGCTGGGGAAGAGACCTGAAGGAAGTGCTGGCTCCTCCTGGGAGGGTCGTCCTCACCCAGGCAACAAGGGCATAAAGGGTCCTCGGGCAGGAAAGCACGAGGCTCCTCAGCAGGAGGGGCAGTGTAAGGAACAACCAGCACTCGTAGGAATGAGAGAGACCTTTCTTGCTGTCCTCTGCACACTGGAGTGTTACAGGGCTGCCAAAAAGTGAGAAGACCTACATGCATGTAGCTGGAGAGTGTACCTGATGCATTGGGTGGAGATGAAATTGCATAAGGGTATAAATTAGTATTCCCATTTTTATAATAAGCAAAGGTGGAAATGTTTCTTTTTGTATGAATGTTTGGAAAAATCTGGAGATACACAACCAAGTATCCTGCTTGTTGCTTTGTTGTGGCAAGTGGGTAGGAGAGTCAAACAGTGGTCCAAAAGGGGAAAGGAGAACAAGAAGCTAGCAGGTCTCCAAGGTTGTTATTCTGGATCTCAGGGCCGGCCCGTGGCTCACTCGGGAGAGTGCGGTGCTGATAACACCAAGGCCATGGGTTCGCATCCTATATAGGGATGGCTGGTTCACTCACTGGCTGAGTGTGGTGCTGACAACACGAAGCCAAGGGTTACGATCCCCTTACCGGTCATCTTTAAAAATAAAAAAAGAAATATTCTGGATCTCTCCAGAGTGCAACTCTAAGGTGCTAATCACATCATTTGCAAGCAATCTTCTGTTTGTAAAGTGGTTTCCCAGGTTAATAGGTTTGTGGGGAGAGAATGTCCAGATCACATTAATGATTACCTTTAATTCATAGGTGGTTTTGTGTTGTGGTTTTGACCTTGCCTGTTGTGAGCTCTGAAGGCATGAATCCATCAATGAGCGATGGAAGATGAGAGAAGATGCTGTGTGTAAAGCACCTAGCAGGGAACCTGGAAAACTCTAGGTGCTCCCTGGTGTTAGTTCTATCTACTCCTTATCCCTTACACATCAAATCTTTGGAGATTGTTGGGTTTCTGGTTGTCCAATTTTCCCCCCATTTCTTCTTTCCTGCTTTCTTTGGATTAAGTGACATTTAGAATTCCATTTAAATTTTTGATTGACTTTTTAGCTATACCTCTTGGCATTATTTTTATTTTTTCTAGTGGTTGCTAAAGAGATTCAAATATACATCCCTTTAGCTCAGTTGGTTAGAGCACAGCTTGTGATACCAAGATCAAGAGTTCAGATCCCTCTACCGGCCAGCCACTAAAAAAAACAAAACAAAAAATATATTTCAAAAAACAAAATTTAAAAAAATATATACATCTTTAACCTTTCGTAGTCTACTTAGGGTTCATAATATGCCACTTCACATAAAATATAAGAACCCTGCAACTCTGCGGGGCCATCTCCCACCCTTTCTTTATTCTATATTTGTAGTATGTATACATCTTTCCGTACCCTACAAACCAAAATACAAAGTTTTGAGCCTTTAGGGCTGTTGTCCAATTTTCCCCCCATTTCTTCTTTCCTGCTTTCTTTGGATTAAGTGACATTTAGAATTCCATTTAAATTTTTGATTGACTTTTTAGCTATACCTCTTGGCATTATTTTTATTTTTTTTAGTGGTTGCTAAAGAGATTAAAATATACATCCCTTTAGCTCAGTTGGTTAGAGCACAGCTTGTGATACCAAGATCAAGAGTTCAGATCCCTCTACCGGCCAGCCACTAAAAAAAACAAAACAAAAAATATATTTCAAAAAACAACAACAAAAAAAATTACAAACAATATATACATCTTTAACCTTTAGTCTACTTAGGGTTCATAACATGCCACTTCGCATAAAATATAAGAACCCTGCAGTTCTGCGGGGCCGTCTCCCACCCTTTCTTTATTCTATAATTGTAGTATGTATACATCTTTCCGTATCCTACAAACCAAAATGCAAAGTTTTGAGCCTTTAGGGCTAGCCCGTGGCTCACTTGGGAGAGTGTGGTGCTGATAACACCAAGGCAATGGGTTTGGATCCCGTCTAGGGATGGCCAGTTTAGTTCACATGGGAGAGCGTGGTGCTGACAAAGTTATGAGCCTTTGCGTTAAGTGGTCATATTAAAGAAACTACGAGGAACAAGTAGTCTTTCATACTCACACAAATACAATTTCCAGTGCTCTTCTACAAAAGGCTTCTAATGCACTTGGAGAAAAAGGATATAGTTGTAGAAGCCAGAGAATTATACAAGGCAAGACACATATATTACAGAACTTACAGGTAGTGGAAAGAATCCCTAAGAGTCAATGGGAATATCTGGCTGATTCAGACCCTAACCTTCACTTTTCCTGGGTTGAATTTTATTTCTCTAATCAATAATCTCCAAAGCCATGTGGAATCTTTTCCCTTATACTTTGACAAGATCAGATCTAATAAAATCTGCAAGGAAAACATCAGTAAAGATGTGCTGATTCCACCCCCTGAGCAGGACCTGAGGTAACAGCAAGGATGGGAGCAGAAACCAGACGGAGCCTTGGGAAGACCTTGCACCTGGCTCCTTGCACACAGGCCCCCAGGCTCACATCCCCCTCCCTGCTGCTTTTCATTTCCCGCATTCTGTTCTCTCAGCTCCCTCTTTTTAAACCCCTCAGGAAATCTGAGTCTTTGAGTTGGCTTGACTCTGGCCCTTCTCCTTCAGGTTTATGGGACAGATGGGTTAGCGCAACATCTGTCCTCAGGTCACTGGTATTCCTGAATGAAAGCTGACTTCCATTTTCACCAACATTTGACTTTTGAGTTTTTGTTTTTTGTTTATATTTTTTTATTTTGTCATTACACAATGTAAACATTTTTTGTGGCTTGAGTTTGTTTTTGAAAGGGGGCAGGCAGCCGGACCTGTGCCCCATAACATAAAGACTTGCCCCTGCAGAAGATTCAAGCACTTCTAAAGAAATGGGAGAGTGACAGTCCCCCTTTGGTGTCCTCATCCTTTAACTTCCTCCGGCAGAGGTAACCACTTGCAACAGGTTTTTCTCTTTTCTCTAACCTTTTCCTTTGTGTGCATTTGCATGTCTGTGTGTATCTAGAGGTATCCTTTAATGTAAATGAGTTTTATTTTTCTTTAACAACATCTGGGATCTTCCCATGTCCACAGGGCTTATTACAGATGAACCATAATTTCTTCCCCTATGAATGGAAAACTTATCATAAAGTAACCAAGCACTTATGGCCTATCTCTTTTTGATCTTGCAATTAGCTCTTTCTTTTATCCTAAAGCAAAATTTACCAAGACCGGATTGTTCATCTAATAATGGGTGATAGAAGCTGGCTTGGACTGTTGTGAAAGAAGTAAAGTTTTACTGTATAAAAAATTATTTTGTAATTTTCTTTCATTAGATACTTACTCTAGGTATTGATAATTCAATAATTTAGTGAAGTGTTTAACCCATAATATGAAGGAAATCCATATCAAATGGAAGCTTACCTTAGAGCTCCTGTGGCTCATAAATG